AAAAAACTGATAAATAAATAAATATATAAATAATTACAAAATTCTATAATAGAAATAGCAGGATAGATTAAAAATATTCAGAAAGATAAAATTAATTTATAAAAAATTAAAATTAGATAATGTGCTATAGCTTAATATTGTTTCAAAGTTTTCCAGGTTTTTATACGAGCTTATAAAATGCTTCTTCACAGCTGTTTTGAATAGTTTTATACTAGGCTTATTTTTAATATCATGGGGAAGGCTGTTCCATAGCTTAACTGCTTCAACACTGAATGCCTTGCCACCATCGTTATTTCTTAGGTATTTGGGACACACTAAATTTAAATTGCCATGTCTAGTAGACCTATTGTGTACAGAACTGTTCGTCTTGAGCAAGTCTCTGATATAAATCGGAACATCGCCTTTAAGGCTCCTAAAAATCACTGTACATTTATTTAATTTGATTTCATCAAAAAAAAAGGCAACCAGCCTAGTTTACTAAAGTTTACAACACTTCTAGAATAAGAGTCCACTCCAAGAATTACTCGGGCAGCCCTTTTCTGTAACCTTAGGAGACAGTGCAGTTCTTTAGCTTCGCAGATATTCCAAACCATGCTCCCGTACATAAGGACGGGTTTAATCAAGGCGTTATAGTATAAGATTCTTTCCTTTGTTGGAAAGTGGGTTTTTACACCGGGAAACCGATAGAAAGCGCGGTATATTGCCGCTCAAATTAAGTATGTTAATGTGATTATAAAACGAGATCAAAATACCGACCTTTGTAACGTTAACATTGTTACTTTCTTTGCTTATTTCGTCTTTCTTGTTGCCTGTCTGTGTTTTTGCCTCAGATTTCACGGCATTTGCATCAAGCACATTTCCAATTCCCACCAAGAGATTGTTTCCCGCCTTGTTAATGCCGGTCGGGTCTTTGTCACTTCCTCCAACGGTAATGTTTTGAAACTTATTTGTCATACTTTCCAAAACATCAACTGAAGTCCACTACGGTAAAAGAAAGATTACACTTTTTTCATTTCTAGCATCGCCAAGCTCAGAATTGGCACAAGCGTGATAAAGCTACGAGAACGCCAGGGTGAAGCCTGCCCACGAAAAGCTCCTTTTGGACAGGCGTTTAGATGTTTAAATTAAGCGAAATAGTGAACAGCACAACAATATCGGCGAAGTGAAAAAGCGACAGAGGGAGTTTTGGATTCATTAAGTGACTTCATTGAACGACTCGACCCAAACCTCCCTCGTTGTTTCACTCCTCCGCTATCAATCGCGCTGCTTACTTTCGTTTTACTTACTGGGCGAACGCCTAGAACAGACCGAAATTATCCGTGAAATGGCATAAGTTTATAACTTCTGGTTGGTAAAAGGAATAACCCATCCTCTACCGGAGCCTTGGAAACGCCCAGTCTATTGTGACCGATGGGATTGCTACAGAGTTTGTGGTTAGTCATTTCTTTGTTATGGCGCATTTTGTACTCCGTGAAAAAGAAAACGATACTTTCGCTTTCGTCCTAAGGAGACTTCCAAAATATCTTTCTTTAATGTTGGACACACAGGTGCAATTTACCTACCTGAGATTCTTCCGAGAGTTCTTCACTTTTATCAGTTGCACTGGCTACAACTGAGGTCACTAGAATGATTCCTTGAAGGTCATCAACTTTGACTTTTGATGAATGTTTGATCATTTCGTCCTTGAACTAAAAAGAGAATTTTCATTTTACAGTAAACAAAAGCCAAACCCAGACAGGAACACTGGCATACGCTTTGCGACATTATCTTCCTTGTAATTTATTATCTTGCCAAAGCTCTCTGAAATTTCACTTAAAAATTGTCTTCTCGTTAGCTCTGCACACCCTTCAAGCCCTAAGAGTGACCAGCATCTAATTTCTCCTAACAGCCTCACCCTTGAGTCAAACATTAAGGCGATGAGATTAAAGAAAATGATCCCCAATTTAGGAAGCTACTGATTGTCAAAAATCAACATTCTCCTGGTCAGTAACGGAGGAAATGCGAAGAGAACAGTGCGGAGAATTAGAATACCAATGTTAGGAAGTGAAGGCTTGAGCCTTCATGCATCATTAGACCATTTCGTAATTAACTTGTGTCAATTTTTGAGCCGTGGCCTTCATTTCGTGATTATAATGATAAACCACTTTGGATAGGGCGCATTCTGAAAATCTAAATTAACCCAGCCTCTACCTTTATTTTGTCCTCTTTTTTAACTTCTTTATCAGTTGTTGCGGACATCACGGACAGTAAGGTGTTCGCCAGCCGCATGGCATCCTTGCCACCATCTTTACTTTTCAGTAACTTAGCCATCTCACTATTATTGCCCATGGTAAATTGATACAGGGTCGTTGCGTTAATTGTCCTACCGGAGAGAACCTTGAAAAGGAAACAATTACGTTACATATAGATATCTGCTTTAAAACGACTGTTCATGTGGATTTATATAAAGGTCGTTCGCAAGAGCACCTGTTGCCACCAAAATATTTTAGGAAATAACAAATCATAAAACTTATTGGGCGTTTAATGAAATACTTCAATTACAGGTTGTTTCTGTAAGTGCTATGATTGCGTTACATTTTGACTGGAACATTGTGTCACGCTCTTGTTATCGTAGCTAATATGAGCAAATTCACGCCTCTTTTGGCATCCTCCATTATTTCGAGCGGTGCATGACGGAGAAGGTCGGAGGAACAGGTGGTTCGAGAAATGCTTTATTCCTACTTTCACAATGCAAGCGTTACATTTGAACTCACCTTAACCTTTACACTTCTGAGCCCAAATCCACCCCATTTGTCTTTGACATAGATGTCCACTTGGAACATATTTTCTTTCTCGGTGTCGCCAAGAGGAAGCTTGTTAGTCTTCAAATAAGGCGAGGGGCTTTCCTGAAGTATTTCATATACCCCATTACTCGACCTGTACCCAAATTGATAAATCAGGTCACTGTCTTCATCCACCCACCCTAAACAGGAAAATGTGAAATTTGTCACCAAAACTTGACCTGTAAATCGATCAACAGTGCAGTTTCCTCCTCTTGGGGATTTGTTTGTTGTGAAAGGATAAGTAAAAGAACTTCTGATGTCCTTAGTTAGATTGCCACGAAGTTGTAGTTCATATTTTCTGCCTTCTTGTAACACAAGTTCGTCAATTTCCAGAAGCGAAAGGTCGCGATTATTTTGTATCGTGGCTGGCTGAAATTCTCCATTGTCTCTCTTTACGTAAAGAGACCAGCTGAAGTGCATTTTTTTTTGCTTGCAAAGATCACCGCCACAAACTCCTTCGAAAAATATTTTCTCTTTAGGATTTACTTTTCGTTTACAATTCCTTTTGCATCTGCAAGAGAAGTAATAAAGATATGACAATTTAGGGATAATACACCACCGTAGGATGGAGGACGGCCACTAAGGAAAATTACAAAATGGCCGACTTGCCCTCGTCTTGGTAAGTTGACGTTTTCTTCTCTTGGTTTCTATTTATGGAGCATCAGCATTGTATACTTGAAATTGGGTAATTAGAAAATTGAACAGTTTTATTGTTGAAATTTTGGAAACTTTTTATTTTCTTTTTATCGATGAAGTTCTCAGTGTACCTGGAATTTCGAAAAACGCCATCGAAGTAGATAGGCCGACAACGAACGACTTACTTTAAATATATTATTTTGCTGAACAATGTTAATAAGTTATAAATATCAAGGAAAAATGTAATCATCATTGTATATGGGTAAACAGCTGAGGGAAACTATTTTACCACGCAGAAAATGTCTCGCTAAAGGTGAGGGTTTGAAATAATACAAGAGTGTAACAGTGTAACAGTACGATGATGCTGAACACTCTTCATTGATATTACCACGTTTCTCACCATTATAATAATATCACATGACCATAAGATTTAAATGTCACAAAATAGAAAAAAGATATATGTGCTATAAAAATGATAAAATTGTGCTACACTCACATTTTAAAAAGGACGCACTTACTTTTCAGTTTATTTTTTGAACAGTTTGTTTGATTTGTGACTTATCGAGTAGCGTGTTTATAAACCGCTGGATAAGGTTCTGGCAATAAGCGGGGCTTCTCACAGTGTGAGAAAGGTAGATTAGGTTAGATTTATACCTTGGAAATACCTTACCTGATTTCAAGATCGAAACTGTTTGCACTTTTTAACTCAAACTCATATGAAATATTCTCCTTCCTCGAATCTTTTTCCACAATTAACTGGATAATATAACTTTTCTTGGGCTCCATTTGGTCCAAGAATAACTTTGAAAATGCACCTGTAAAATTCAGTTTGCCAGGTCCAGTTCCATAACATCCCTTTGCATTTAATCTGTTTCCACTTCCATGCGGAACAACAACAGGTAGTGTTGCAGTATTTCCTAAAGTCTCATTTTTCCTTGCACAAAGCCATGTAAAAGTTAAGCCACTCTTATATTTCTTTTGCACATCAGGGTCAAAAGAATTTGATGCATTAAACTCAAGATACCTGTGGTATCCTTTAAGAACACCCTCTTCCAGTGGAGGGTTTGTCGACACAGCCACATGAATAGGTGTTTCTGTGACTCGCAGGAATCCATAATTGTAGTTCATACAACCACTGGCATTTACCTGAACCTCAATGTAGTGTACACCATATTGAAGGGTGTGTTTTGGTATCTCTTTTGGTATAATAGTTGTATTTCCAAGTGCAGTATCCTCCATGGAAATACTTATGGATTTAAAAGCATTTGTCCTGTCCACATCTTTCCGTCGAGAGTTCTGCAACTGTGCAATTTTCCAAGAAACAAGAGCTTTTTGCCGAATTTCACTGTTGATTGATGCTCTTACTACGTACGATGCTGAGCGATTGATTCTCCTAGCTTTATCATGGTCATGGGAAAAGCTTGATAAAGAAATGTTTGGCATTGTGCACGAGGACGACCCTGCCCAATGAACAAAGGTAATCACTGATTAATCACATAAATAGCATACATTATTTGATTGAAGGGAAACTATATATCGATAGCTTTTAGGCAGGGAAGTCAATAGAATTGAAAGTAGAAAGAAAATAAGAAATGGCAGGAAACTAGGTTATCGCGCTTGTCATGTTGTTTTGTCAAAATTCAGGAAAGACTATAGGAACTGAATATTCAGATAAATCTTTTAGGCGCTGCACGAAGTTCGACCAAATTCTGATCGTATAATCATTTCAGACATCTGAACATTTTAATGATAATGAAATCACGTGGGCAACTCCAGCCGAAACTGGGAAACGGTTGCAATACAAACTTTAACTGTGTCACTTTCCATCAACACTTTTGGTAAAATGAGGTTAAAGTAGCTAACTAACGATGGCAAATGAGAAAGCCATTTGGTTTTTCCAGCGGCTCTTGCTGACAGCTCTGATTTAGATAGTGCTTCAAGTGTGTGTTGTAAGAGATCCATGATTTCTATATTTTTTTCTTTTGTGCACGCTTTAAATAAACCTCGCTATCCTATCCACTGGTCATCAAATAAAAAAAAATAAACGTAAATTGATAGTAACTATGTGGAAAATGAATGAAATGGTACCTTTAGGGTCCTTCACAGCAAAGAAGCTAGAGTCAAATTTGGTGAAGCTTTTTAAGAGTTTTTTTGCTCCCACAATCATCTGTTTTAATTGTGAATCTTGCACGCCAACTTTGATGCCAACAATTAAGCTTCCAGGTCTAAAAAAGGAAAACATTTTAATTTGAATGATCATATGCAAGGCTTTCTTTAATGTTTTCGGAAGCTATAGCGATATTGCTCGGAATATTCACGTAATATTATACTGCATTTATATGAGTGAATTAAAAAGTTCTCAATGCACAAGGTTTTGTCCACAATATTTAGCCTCAGAAAGGATTTAGTTTACATTCAACAATATCACTGAAGCTCTCATCAATGGCTTTATCAATATGGTATTACCCTTTATGTATAACTTTTTATTGTTTTAGAATGATAAACAACCCTACACATTTAATGATATTGTACCTTAGGCTCTCGAGCTTAGCCACTTGCACTCCTGGGAGACTGCTAATCTGGCCTATCTATCAGTAAATAACAGAACAGACTCTATGAATCTTTTGCAGGTACGATATAATAGCCAACCTGTGAATTTTTGCGTACAGGCACTCAAACCTGTATAAACTGCACTCTCGCTAAAACGTAGCGCCTGGAGTGAAATTTTAACTCAACGTTATATCTATCAGGGTCAGCAACATAAAAACAGCAGCACAACACAAATAAACTACTGCATTAGCAACAACGGCAGTATCAACATGATTATCATCGGCAACATCAACTTCAGCGACTAAAACCCCACCATGACATACATGAGTCTTTTCTTAACTGAGAAGTGATACCTCGTTTGCTAGCTTCTCTTCAGTTATTTGAAACCCATCAGATTTTTTGTCTATGAGCATTTCCAAAGTACAGTGATCATCTCTCCACCGGAAGTATAGGTCCACAGACCTCTCTGTGGATGAAAAAGTAACAGAAAATAATTTAAACATGGGCAGCGGAACAAGTGCTGAGGAACCGTAGTGGACAGTGGTGATTGTCTTGGGACAGGAATTTGGTTTGTGCTTTTATAATTTTTTAAATTTGGACAAAGAGCGATGAACGCTAAGTAAAGTTTGGTGAAACTGCTGTAATTTTCAACAGTATTGCATGGCCCACAAATATAACATTGCTAAGTACATCTTGTAAAAAGAGCCTTTGAATAATTCCCATTCCGCTGATCATATCTA